AATTCATCATTACTCCTATGAACCACATGATATACGAAAAGTAGTACACTAGACAAAATGCTCCTGAAACGTTTCTGCTACTATGCTGCGCACAGCAGATGCGGAGATAAATTCGGTTAACCGGAAAGTGTGTGGCCGGCATGGTTCAAGAACGACGCACACCATAAAACATGACAGTAATTACAATTTGTCTGCTAACGCGAAAAATTGTTTAAATGTAAATATTTTTTATTTACGTAACAAAACTAAAGTGTTTTATTTCAATTACACCTGGTTGCAAGTATCGTTACTTCTACGTAAGTTATAATTCCGCAATTTATACAGATGAAAATGTTTATGTAAATACATTTTTCAAGTTGTAGATAAAGCACAATATATAGTACACGTATATATGTATGTCTACTATATCGCCTGCAGCCTGGAGAGTTCTCGACAAAGTAGAGATTTCGTAGCAAAATAAATAAGGCATTTTTCGGTTAATTTTTTTTAGCTTTTAATAAAACATTTGCAACCAACATTCTCCGAAGCGGCTTCTTTCCATCTGTTAGTACGCTATAAACCAGCAGCGCTTAAAAATGTAATGCCATGAAAAGCACTAATAGCCAGCTGCTACTCAGACGACCGTCTCCCGCCAGCAGATGAGAAGCTGCCACCAGAGTCACGGGCAGCATCAGAATCGCATGTCATGGCTTACTACCTTCATGTTTCTTGCTTCATGATTCGGCTTTCCAATCGGCTATTCCCAAGTTCTGATTGACCTCGACGCGATGCTAGGAATCTCTGGACTCGTCATGCTAAGGACTGGTCATGCACAGCACTCGTCATGCATGCTTAGGACTCGTCATGCTTGGGATTCGTCTTGCTCAAGAGTCGTCCTGCTTAGAACTCGTAATGCTCAGGACTCGTCATGCTCAGGACACTCGTCATGCTCAGGACTCGTCATGCTCAGGACTGGTCATGCTTAGAACTCGTCATGCTTAGGACTTGTCATGCTCAGGACTCGTCATGCTTAGGACTCGTCATGCTTAAGACTCGTCATGATCAGGATTAGTCATGATCAGGACTCGTCATGCTTAGAACTCGTCATGCTTAGGACTCGTCCTGCTCAGGACTCGTCATGCTTCGAACTCGTCATGCTCAGGACTTGTCATGCTCAGGACTCGTCATGCTTAGGAATCGTCATGCTCAGGACTCGTCATGCTTAAGACTCGTCATGCTTAGAACTCGTCATGCTTAGGACTTGTCATGCTCAGGACTCGTCATGATTAATACACGTCATGCTCAGGACTCGTCATGCTCAGGACTCGTCATGAGTATACCTGAGTCCAGAAATAATAATAAAAAAATGTGTCTCCATTCTGTTATTTTCGTATGGCGCAAAACAAGTTCGTCGAGCGGGACTGGTCCTTCCCATTCCTTAAATGGTTTGTTCATCCGCCGAAAGCTGGCGCTGCAAAGCCCTAGAATCCCATGTTCCGTATCCTCATTCACTCATGCACGTTTTAATGAGAACCAACATGCTATACCGGCAAGCGCTCGGATATTATTGCTACTGCGCGATTACCCTTAAAGACCGCGTAAACTTTCGTATACTGCGTTGGCCAAGTTGCTCATCTATGCAGCGGATATATAGTACGCCGCTTAAGGCAGACTAACATCACTGTGTCTGAATATCCGCAGGACAAGTTTACCTTCCGACTTTTCCGCAAAATTTGAATAAAGAACCCACGAATAAAACTTGGGCCATAAGCCAGCTTTATGGGCAAACCATCGCTTCGGCGCCGAAGTGTCTGGGAGCTTCAAGACAACCTGTCTCGGAGACTCCGCCAAAGCGACTTCCAAACACGAAGCGAAAGAAAACGTTTTGGCAAACAAACGATAAACCGTCCAAGGTGCTTGTAGCCTTCGTTGTACCGACTCCATCTCCGATAGGACTACTGCCGTCTATGCCGCTGCCGCCAACGTAAAAACGCGGAGGTCGCGAAGGTTCGGAAGCGACGGCCAAACACCTCCAGAGCTACATGAGGAAGCTCTTTTAAACGAGGTCGGGTTAAAAGCGAAGTTTATGTCTCATGAAACTAGAGAGAAGTGCAGTTTTCAATCAATCCAGGAAGTTGTAGTATTTTTCAAACAGTGACCGAATCGACACCCTAACTACTACTCTACTACTCAATAATAACGTCGTTTAACATTTTTACAGTGAAACTATGATGAAGAAAGGATCAAAGTCAACTCCAAGTTTCTCGCAAACGACATGAAAAAAAATAGCGTTCCATTTACTTTTGAGTTCCTGTTACTGCGTTACAGGAAGTATACTTTGAGATTGTGTAACGTGCTGAGAAATTAGGTAATTCATTTTACGTTGCCATTTTTATGAAAATAAACGTGTATCAAAAGTATATCGTGATAGAATGATGAAGCGCAATGATTAGCTGACACAATTTATTGACAGCTTCGAAAGGAAGCTCTTGCGAGAATACCCTTTCCAAAACACTGAAACATAAACGGGGGCGCATTTGCGATGCAAAGTAACTTCTAACAGATAAAACAATAGTAGATGCAAAACAAGAGTACAGCTCGATAGCAGCAAAAAAATGCATATTCGATAGCACCGTGGACACAGATACACACCACGCGCTTCTCGCATGCAAAGCCGTGAGCTTCGGAGTCGCACGAGGTGTCAGTGAACAATCGCCAGAAATGTCAAAACTTTGAATACTAAACGAGCTGAAAACTGCAGTGTACGCAGTGTCAGTGAGCAAGTGATCCGCCGTACTCACTGTCTTCGGACACATCGCATTTGACATGTCTAAACCTCGTTTCAACTTAAGGGGCCGTGCAACGATATTCTCTTGGAATGTTTTTCACTTTACAGGAGCTTACTGGACAAAATTTTTTTGTCCAGTAACGAAATTTGTCCAGTAACAAAAACAAAACAAAATTTCAAGGACAAAATCGAGCGTTTCTTTCTATTTCTCCTTCGGAAAACTTGACAAGATAGCTAGGGACTCCAGTACCCCCCAGTGACAATATTTGAATGCTGCTCATAGATTGGAACCAAGCATTGCGTGAGCGCTCGATTTGGGCTTCTGATAATCGATAGCTCGAGAGCCATTCGGGCAGTGGCCCGTGTCCGATTGCTGCAATGAGGACAATAGCTGAACCATAACAATGTCTGAAACTCAGCAGCGCGTGTCCTCTGCTTTGCCAACCCCAGCGCCTGGCTTTGATCATCATTGGTTGGGAGGAGGGGGGGGGGGGGGGGGGGGGGGGGGGGGGGCTTGTGATTACGTAACCGCCTGTTCTGACTGCTCGTTGATTTCTTTTATTTTATTTTTTTATTTTTATGCGACTTTTATTGCGTGTGGTGAAAAACGAACGCCTGTTTCATGGGTCATTTACAGGGATTCGTTCTAAGCAGTATTTGCGCGAAGTACAAAAAATCTTTCAATCGCCCCTTTAAGTCCAGAAGCAGCCGACGCTACGAGCTAATGGGACCAATCAAGCAGCGTCAAAAACGCAAGTCACTGTGCCTTTTTTTGTTGTTGTTTGTTTATGATTGATTCAGCGATGAATGATCACGAGCGGAAACGTGACGACCACCAAGGTGGTGCGCTTTCGACGCTGTTTGAGTGCAGCACTCTGAGCACCATCATTCCGTAGGGTTGTTTGTCGTAAGTTGGCTGCCTGCGGGTACTGCCCGAGTGTGAACACATGTTCCTCTTAGAGCGTAAGCTCTCCACGAAACTCTAATCAGTCACAGCTGAACAAGCGCACGGCTCGTCGCGCCTTTTATTTCTTAACTCGTCCATGAATATTTAAGAAACGCGGGTCGTGGCGAGTCTCGAGAAGATGGGAAGAGTGAGGAATGTCGGATGTGCAACGTTTTGGACGTTGCACATCCGACATTCCTAACTCTTCCTATCTTCCTAAACGTCCGTGTGTGTCTTAACATCAAAAACTAGCATTTTAAAAGTTAAAAACGAGACGTTACGAGTATGGGACGCAAACTTTCGTGCAAAGCTGAAGTGACTCAAATCGGCAAACATGCATATTTACCATTATATTGCTATCTCATCTCGTGGAGGCTCAGCAGCTGTTGCATTCATTTTCGCGCACAAAAACTGTGACTCGCAGAGAAAGTAAAATGAGTTTTACCGCCTTCATTTTAACAATATACACACTTTCAGGCTTGCGCTGATGAAGCCTCAAAATCGAAACTCGCGTATCGTGACTGTGGCCGCTACTCCCAACCTCGTTGTCACACACTTCTGCAAAAAGTCACCAAAAATGCTAGTAAACACGCAAAAGCGAACACCGATCCAATTAACTTGTAGATTATCACCCTATTTATTAATAACTGTGTGAATATGCATTTTAAAAAAAACGTAAAAGCCATTCTTCTCCCGAAAAAAAAAATGAAATATCAACCTTTAGGTATGGCACCAATGTATCTCTGCCGAATCTTTGCCGTATCTTTAAAAAAGTTTGGCGAGTTCGGCCTTGCCAAATCCTAAGATTGAGCGCCTAATTTTTGATTCGGCAAAAGTACGGCCCTCCCTTTTCCTGTGCATTAATGATACAAATAGGAAACGTTTTTTCTACAGTTATAAGACAGATAGGAAACGCCAGAAAATCAAGGTGGAGTGGTGGAGTGGTAAGCCTATACCTTCCCGGACAGTTGGGAGGCCCAGAGTCCAGATCCTGGCTCCGCCAAATATACCTTTACTTTCGGCGGTTTCGTAAAACATTGATTCATTCGACGAACTACGGTTCATTCATCTGCATATCTTATATATATTAAAATTGTAGAATTAGCATTGATACGATAATAATCGTCTGAAAGCGAAAGTATACCTCGCTTCCCGCCAAGTGTAGCCGATCGGCTTCCCCGTACGCGCACCGGGAAAGGTCCGAGCGAAAGTGTTTCTTGGTTTCGACGTTGGCGGCGGCGTCGAGCCAAGGGGCGAGGGTGACGCGAGGGCAGGAACGACCGCTCTCCGGCGGACGTCGGCGCAACACCGACCCCATCTCGGCGCAGTTGCCTATTATGCGAGCGACGGGATGACTACGGTGAGTACCCGCTCCTCCTGTTCGGTGGGCTTCCCCGCCGCACAGGTCTCTCGTGCTCCCGCTCTTTACATTGCCCGAACTCTACGTGGCGCGGTGAGGTGCGCCACCCCGTTTGGAGACTAACGCAGCGGGCATAACATGTTACAAAGTTCCTTTCCGTACACAGTAAAAAAAAAAAAAAAAGTATTTATATTACTTTATTTTTATGCCAGAAACCCTCGCAGAATTGTTTTTGGTCCACAGAGAGACTTCCTTTCATCTTAAATCCGGACGTAGCAAACGGTGCTATCCGATATTGGACCAATCAAACAAATTCAAAAGCGCAAGTCACTGGGCCTTCCCTGTGCACGATTCATTCAGTGATGATAGAAGACGTAGAGACACATGACGAACACAACCTTGGCGCGCCTTTGACGCAGTTTCATTGGTTCCATCAGGTCGTAGCATTGGCTGCGCCCGGGTTTCAGGGGAAACGAAACATGCACGGACGAAAGGGCTGCGAAAGAAAACGTTTCGACCTAAACCCGAAGTGTGTACGGAGTATCATTGTAAATGACGTCACGGTCATACGTCGCGACCATTGTCACAAAAAGAAAAAAAAAAAAAACTTTACGACGGAAACACTTCTTTGTTCGTTTGTCCCGTCGCGGCTGGACTCCATGTAACCAACGTGCGGCGAACAACCGACGAACAATGCCGGGCGACATGTTCATTTTCATCCCACGGCGCAAGAGACACTGTTCTGGCGACGAGCGCGAAATAACCGCAAAACTCGTCGCTTCTTTTTTTTTCGCTTCATGGAGTTTAGTTTCTCTTCGTTCACTTTCCAAGCTCGTTACGTCGGCCGCGGTGGTCTGCCCTCCGGGCAATGCGTCAAACTGTACAAATTCACAAAAAAAGGGGGAGAGTGTTTGTTTTATTGCAAAAATCGACTACGCATCGCCGAACGGTCATTCTACGGCCAAATGCAGCGCTAGCGGTCCGAAACATATGCCAAAGTTTCAGCACTAACCATTATCTAAGTCAAAATTTATTTAGGAGTTTCTTTTGAAATTTTCAATGGTAAAACGGGACTCGTTTCTTTTTGCCCGTTTTCGGTAACTGGTACCATTCAGCTGCATGATATATCATTACAGGTCCATTGGCTTTCATTTTACCATTGAACATTTCAGGAAATTGGTTCTTACTATTGAGTGAAATAACGGTTAGCTCTTAAAATTTGGCATATATGGTTCGGAGCGCTGGGACTGCGTTTGGTCCAAAAATCAGTACTCGTTAGTGCGTCAATTACTGTCGCTGTAAGAAAAATTAAAAAAAAGACAATGATAAAAATTTGTGGGAGACACCAAATATATGCACGAGTATTTATGGTGCAAATTAAAACGGGTGTATACATATATATACATATATATTTTTTTTTACCAAGCCCGAGAGTTTATGGTTGCAGACAACTTAAGAAACGCAGGGTGCGGTGGGGAGTCTCGAGCACCTCATTATAGTTCCGCGGCCAATGAGATTGAGACGTCGGCCCATAATGACTGCGAAGAACCAATCGCGAAGTGAAAAGCGTGAACAGAGTGAACCATGTTCTGCATGCCAAGCTAGTTCTCCACAGTGCCAATCCCGGCAACTTGTGAAAAAAATGAGCGGCAAAGTACGTATCATCGATAGAGTTTGAACTCTAAGATGGGGTCGGAACTGCAATTCTCAAAGGTCAGGCTTCTAGTGTCTCGGAACCATGTTCTGCATGCCAAGCTAGTTCTCCACAGTGCCAATCCCGGCAACTTGTGAAAAAAATGAGCGGCAAAGTACGTATCATCGATAGAGTTTAAACTCTAAGATGGGGTCGGAACTGCAATTCTCGAAGGTCAGGCTTCTAGTGTCTCGGAACCATGTTCTGCATGCCAAGCTAGTTCTCCACAGTGCCAATCCCGGCAACTTGTGAAAAAAATGAGCGGCAAAGTACGTATCATCGATAGAGTTTGAACTCTAAGATGGGGTCGGAACTGCAATTCTCAAAGGTCAGGCTTCTAGTGTCTCGGAACCATGTTCTGCATGCCAAGCTAGTTCTCCACAGTGCCAATCCCGGCAACTTGTGAAAAAAATGAGCGGCAAAGTACGTATCATCGATAGAGTTTAAACTCTAAGATGGGGTCGGAACTGCAATTCTCGAAGGTCAGGCTTCTAGTGTCTCGGAACCATGTTCTGCATGCCAAGCTAGTTCTCCACAGTGCCAATCCCGGCAACTTGTGAAAAAAATGAGCGGCAAAGTACGTATCATCGATAGAGTTTAAACTCTAAGATGGGGTCGGAACTGCAATTCTCGAAGGTCAGGCTTCTAGTGTCTCGGAACGCGCCACCTTTTTTGGTTTATCGCCGCATCGTTCCACACCTACACTCTAAAAAAAGTCTGTGCGTCTACTTTCCCGCACAATACTCGGAAAGCCAATCGCCGCAACTTACGGCGGTAGTTCAGCGAATGAGGATGCCGCAGCATACGTTTAGACAAAAAAACGCAGTCTGAGTTGTGACATTAAGCAATGCAAAACGTCACGCTTGCATTGCTTAATTTCACAACTCAGACTGCGTTTTTTGGTCTAAGCATACGTTTCGGCATTGTCATTCGCTGAGCTACCTCCGTAAGTTTCAGTGATTGGCTCTTCGAGTGTTGTGCGGGAAAGCAGACGCACGGGCTTTTTTTAGAGTGAATAGCGGCGAACTGCTCTTCGCTTGGTTTTGCAGGAAAAAAAAAGAAAACTCCTACTTTATTAATTTTTTTTTTTTTTTTGAGAATTCATCACATAAATTGTAAGAGTCAACCGAATTCGTCATATAAAAAACGAGCACCATATTCTTCTTTTTTAGAGGAAACTCATATTTTTTGCTATTTATTATCTTTAGAAAATGTGACGTTAACGACGGGGTGCATAAGTACGGATATACGTCTGAAATGTAATTTCTTTTTTTCTTGGTTACCACTGAAATAAAATAAAATAACAAACAAACTTCGTCCCTTCTTTCGAGAATAAGGCTAAAAGTTTCAATGAGTGGGAAACAAACTTCACCGGCACACAGTCATGCGCGCAGGGGCGTCCTCTGCGCAATGCAATTTCCGTCACATCACTACGTTAGGAAGAAGGACCCCGAGCTACACATCATAGTTTGCTTGTTTAACTACTTCCTAATTCATTATACTCTATTTACATGCTGTTGTTGTTTTATAGCTTTTTTTGTTTTTGTTTTTTACGTGTTGTTGCTTTTTTTTTAAGTTAGTGCTTTTACGTGTCACACCAACGATGGGCATCTGACAGACCACTGCTAAGAACTAAGGAATGATTTCGACCACCTGAGGACCTTTTGACGCGCAACCGAAATCTCGGTTAGACGGTGCTTTTCCTCAATAAACATTCGTCAGATTGCCGCCAATTCTGCTGTGGTGCCCACTTGGCGTCAGATTGCCGCCAAGTGGGCATCCGTGGAACAACACTTTGCTTCGAAGCCTGCCAGGCGTCTCTTTTGAATGTTCAATCAAACAGAATATACAAAATATGAAAAGAAAATTGTTTACAACGTGAAATTGACATATAAACATACCGTGACCGCATAAAAAAATTGAAATTGATTCTAAATATTAATTTTCGATGGTCAAACTATAAGACACCTAAAACTCCTAAACAAATTGTTAAAAAAGCTTTAAAGTGTATCGATGACGGGGCTACAACCGAATAGAGGACAATCAGTCCAGTGTTTTTCAGTGATGCAATTTGTTTGCGCATAAAAAAATAGCTGTTGTGCGATCTGTCTTATAGATGAGGCATCCTGTTATTTGTGGCGGTGTTTTGTTGTGTATTTGTCCTTAATGCATACGAAGTCCTTGCATGATTTTTAACACTTTTCTGGTAAAGGAAGACTCTAGAATAAAAGTGAATACGCACTGTACAAAGAAACCCGTTTAGAACGAACCCACGTACAGCGAATTATTTTCGATATCGAAGTCATGGAAATTTTAAATATAAAAAGAGCATGTACAAAGTAATTCTTATAACGAACAACATATTGGCTATATCAAACTTTCTCCCCACAGGAAGGTTTCCAAAAACGCGGAAACAGTCGCCTTCTGGCCTGTCCCCCCCCCCCCCCCCCCCCCAAAAAAAAAAAAAAAAGTAGGAAAGAAAGAAAATTTTAAAAGCTCAAGTTGCGAACATAATTGAGCGAAGAGAAGCGATTCAGAAGGGGAGAAAGCTAAAAAGTACACTGCATGGACGCGCAAAAAACAAACAAAAAAAAAACAACCTTTTCACCTTAAAAAGGTTGCCCGCGAAGAGAGCCGAGTCAGAAGAAAGGATAAGACTAAAAAAAAAACTCTGCACGCATGCAAAAAAAAATAAAAAATAAAAAATCGTTTTAGCGCGTTGTCACAAGGCGGAAGCGAAGAGATGAAAAAAGAAAGAAGCTCTCGCCTTTCAACGAACGCATCGTGGAACTTCGTTGTAAATGGTTTTTGCTAGATCGATTTACTTGCTATATCGAACTGATCGTAGCGTTTCCTGCTGTTCGTTATAAACAAGTTTGACTGTATTACCATTATTTTCTTTAGCGGTGCTTTTAGTGTTGTACACTAAATATCCAAACCGTTCCTTTTTAGACAAGACGATCGTTTAATGAGCATTTGTAAAAGTATATGATCGTATAATTTGTTGGTATTACTTCATATAATTGCAAAGGCATTTGGAATTATACGCCCGTTTATTAAGTGTTAAAAATTCTTCACAGGAATACACAAACTAATGCGCTAAATCTATATGACTGGTTCCATGCTTGTGCGGTAAACAGAACGCATCAAGGCACGATTCTGTTCTTTTTTTATAAAAAAAAATCGTAGATTGAGGAATACCTTGAACCTTGTGTTGAGAAGTAACTGCTGCAGGGTTTACAGAAGTTGATATTCCAATTGCATACGCCAAATAAAAGAGCAATAAACACTGCGTTATCAAATTTTA